TCACTGTAGACAAATAAGATGTGAGTGGGAAAGTTCCAGAACGTCGAACTAGTGATTAGAAATCATTGACTTAACAAACAACAGATGATTGTGTAATGAAGAAGCCCTACCACAAATTTGCAAGATGTGGGCGGATAAGTTAGAACCAGTCCGTCAACGATTAACCACGTGTACATTAATAGAGTTATTTGAACTTGTCAATAGTATGAACCATATAAATATTGCTGGTAAGTTTATAGTTTCCTTTCATGTAACATCATTGTTTACTAAAATACCACTTCTTGAAACCATAGACATATTTTGCCAGCATATTAACATTCTACCTTTACCGGCATCAGAACTCAAACGACTGTTAATCATGTGTACAAAAGATGTTCAGTTTCAGTTCATTGATGTCATATACCGACTGGCTAATGGTGAAGCATTGAGAAATCCGTTAAGTCCCGTCTTAGAAGATATTTTCATGTTTATTCTCGAAGGAATCAAGCCCAAAGGAGCGATTAGTGAAATGACAAATCACTCGAGTTGTGTTGATGACACCATCGTATACAATAATAAACAACATGTAACAAATATGCTGAAACTTTTCAACGAATCCCATAAAAATATCCAGTTTACTGTGGAACATGAAAATGAGAATATGTCTCATTTCCTTGACAATGCAACAGGACAAAGGAGCGATGATATGGTACAACATTCAGTTTATAGAATGGATACAGGGAATAAGATTTATTTCAAACTCAATAGCTTTTGTCCACTCAGTTACAAAAAGGAACTTGTTAAAAAACTATTTCACAGAAGAGAAAGAATGTGTACCCATGACACACTAAAAGAGGAACAAATGAATGGAAAAGGAGTTTAAAGAACAACAGATACCCAATGAGATTTATTAAGAGATATGAACAACGTGAAGATAAAAAGCCCAAAGAAACTACAGTAAAAAAAACTATTTTTATTCAGCTTAAATTTAAAGTTGATGATGTGATATAGTCCGTCGATATAAAATTAAAAACTACATCGACAAGAACATATCCAGTACCTAAGCTGTTTTTCTTGTCAAAAACAACATATTTAACACAATCAAAGATCGATGGGTATCTCTTTCATGTTACCAACAATTGTGTATGCAAATTCACATATATCTGCCAAAGCGATTACATTGATAGAACAGAAAGAAAAGCCTTCATCCGATTCAAAGAAAATATTCCCAAAGGCCCAAGGCCGAGTGAATTTAAAGCATTCAGCGGTTCCATCTAGAGACATTTCATTGATACAGGATATCAAGTCGATACACTAAAGTCTTTCAAGGTGATTAATAGACAATAGAACACCAATGTGCTGAAATCTGCCGAAGCTATAGCGATCAAACGTCTAAAACCAGATCTATATGTCCAAAAAGAAACAGTAATAAATCTTTCTTTGCACTGAAATATTGCATTCTTTATATTGCATCATTCATTATTTCGACTGTTTCTGAAGTTTTGATTACATTATCATTATTTTTCTTTAGTTCATAATTGGCTAATTTCAAATCATATCTTTCTTCATTACGATTAATGTTTTCAGCTACTTCATTACATAATCACCTTATGTTTGTTAACTCAATGATTTCTAATCACTAGTCCGACGTTCTGGAAATTTCCAACTCACATCTTATCTATCTGAAATTTAAAAAAATCGTTTTCTAACCTTATTAACTCTATTGGTATCTTCGCTACATCATGATACACATATTCACCTCTGATAACATTCGTATTTATTATAAGTATGTCAATATCTGTAGTAACGTTTTGTTTATAAAAACAATACAATTACCCATAATTATCGTTTTAATTTAAATTGGTTATGTTTTCGTATTTCTGAAGTAACAAGTGGGAATAGTCTAAACGGCTTCATTATTTTTTAAAATGGAGACAGCTACATAATCAATAATTTTGTACCGATGACTAAATCAGTATACGTTAGTTGGTGTGATGAGTTATAGATAATAAGATAGGTAAAGATATTGACAAACATACGCTCATAACTTTTTAGGTAATAGGTATTATGAAGAGAAAACACGGACGTCTCAATTACTCTTCAATCAAGATTAAGTGTTTACAAAGCCAGAATAAGTGTACACTGTTTTGACTATGTAAATTAGTAAACAACTGTATGGTTTTCACTGGTAATACATTTTTTACAGTTGATTGGACACTGAGTAGTAAACAGGACCATATTTGTCTAGTCTTTTACTGCTGATAGAACTCCATTGATCAAGTTGTAATGTAGACTCCAATTGACGAAACTCGACATCGTAGGTACTGTGTTGAGATGTCAGGTGGTTGGAACTGATCAACAAGAAACAATGAATCTAGATCTTGTGCTGTTTGGTACTCGTTAGTAAAGCGTACCTAAAGTTTTGAGATAATGCATTCTAGACGAGTGCCAACGGACACAAAACCTAGGACTAGATGTTCTCTGTAGATTCATTGAAACCACAAAACAGCTACTTTCCTTCCAGATTATTCAAGGATTTTTTATCCAAGCTAGAATATCATGAATCACCAAACTAAGAGTAATTGCCCTGAATAGCTTAATGAAAGAAGTGCTGTAAACACCTCAGTCACCTGAAATTGACAGGGTTTGGATTTGTGGACAGGTTATATTATTTTTCTGTTGACTTAGAATCCCAATATTTTTCCATATATACTTCACCTTAGATTTTTCGAACCATACTCCCAATGTCTAATTATTCTCCGTATCTATACTTCTACATTATTTCGATCTGTTTGCCAGATGTATCATCAATTTTATCGTTTCGTCCTGATGTGTTATGAGGACTTAGGTCAATGTATGTCCGTTACAGGCTCTATGTTGGTGAGGACTGACCAGTGAATGCTTAGCACTGTTTATACAAATCTAGAATTTCCTTGAAGTTAACGTCTGTGATACCAATTATAGTTGGGAATTCATTAGTGGTGTGTGGTTTCCACATAAATATTTTCACAAATTTAATGAATTTTTACGCCTTTCTTTAATAATGATGATAACAATCAGAAATAACTGTTAATTGGGTAATGATTAACATCCAATATAAATTATTATAAACTTAGAAATGATAAACAATCACATTTAACACCATTGGATGCTTGCTCAGTGACCTGAAAGCTAAGTGTTTGCGTGCGAGACCGAAGATCTTGGGTTTGATTCCCGGTCGCGAGGTCATACTAGAATGAGATGGGCGTCTGGTGCTCCCAGGTCTCCAATGGTGATCCAACTTAGATCGATTCATGACTCCAATGAAAATCATAATACAAATTGAACTAATTTATGCGGTTACATTTTTCTTCTTTGTAAAAACGCTTCTCAATTAGATTACTCTTTAAATGATAAATTCGAAAGGAAGACAAGGGATGAGGAAAATAACTTTTTTGTTTTGTAATTAAAACACTAAAAGCAAGTGTGCATACATATGCATGAACATAAATGTACTTTAAAAAAAGAGCAATACATAAATAAAAACAACACAAAATTTATTTGCTTATTTTTACACAATATATGCATTATTTACAATTCAATATGAAAAGTCATCAAACACAAAGTTGACCTTTGCTCACCATGCCTACACGAAACTATTTATAAAAAGAAAATGCATATAATAAGTGAAAAAGCGTAATAGAGAGAGAGGGAGCGAGATAGTCAGAGGAAAGAGATAGCAAAAATGCAGATGAAGAAACCGGGATCCCAGTTCGTTTTTTATAAGAAATAAAAGATATCTACAATAAAACGAAAATGAGAAAGCCCCATGGGGTGACAGTAAACAAACAAAAAACCGTAGGATACAAAATGAAATACGACTCTTGCACTGTGCTCAAAAATTAACACAAGCGATAGGCAAGTGTAATAGTAGGGTCTATGTGTGCGTGAGCATTGTGAACAAGGTAGTCAAGTCAGTAATATTGCAACAAACAGTATACGATGAAATAGTGCAAAAAATATTACGAATCAAAAGTTGAGATTAACAATCCTATATATGTTAGCGTATAACACACATCTATGGAAAAGTAGGAAGAAAAATATCAAGTTGGATTGCCTCTGTTTAGTTTTATGTTTAAAAAACAAATGAAAGCAAATTGAAATACATCTTATTGATTGACTGGTTGGTTAATCGGTCGGTCGGTTGGTTTAAGTTTGATGAAAAGGTAGAAAATAAAAAAAAAAATTAAGACGGAAGTCTGAGTAATCTAGGGGTGTAGTAACGTAAATATTGCCGACAAAAAAAAATAACTGATGATTTTTTGCACTAAATTAAAATATAGGTCACCAGACGTACGTAGATGTTCAAAGTTGAAATGGATTCTACATCAGGTAGATAAATCAAACAGTGTTTACAAAACAGAAATAAATAAAACAAAACTTTTGGAGGTTAAAATTGATTTGTAGATAAATGGAACAGATAGATCAGGCGCTAATTATTTATAGGATAAATTTATACAAATAAACACAAGGAAGAAAACAAATAAGCAAGTAAGCAGGTACGTAAGGGAATATGCCTATCATCATCTTCAAATGATGAGAATAATAATAACATACAAAATAAGAAAGACCAATTATTGTATTGTTTCATTTTCTTGCTCGATTGTACACTTACCAATAAAAATGTGGTTTGTCATAAGAAACAAACTGGGTTGAATTTGAATAAAATAACAAAATTCGAAGTGAAATTGTTTAGAAACTGTAGAAATTCTCATTGATAACCTAGAAGTCAGGGTTATTGAAAATATATAAATGCTATGAATAGGATGAAATTCGATCCATCATTAAAAAGGATATCCCTTTTTTCGGAAAAATAGAAAAGTAATATGAAATATTAGAAGATAACTGATTCAATGAACAGTCGTATATAGTTAATTTAAAACAGAAGATAATTGATTAACAGTTCAATTCTAAACATATAGATGAAAACAATGATTTTTCTTTGTCAAAAACAAAAACAAAATCAAAAAACCACATAGAAATTATTTCGTACAAGAACAGCATAGAGTTGAAAAACAAGTACAAAAATGTGAATGTTGACGCTTCGAATTGATAATTTTATGAGATACAGCGCTAGAATCCACACTACAATGACTATTAGTTGTTTTTGTTGTAAGAAAATCATCAGTCTTTATATCATTCTGAGTACCGAGTGTATTAGTTGATATAGACGTTAAACAATCGGATTTAACAATGTTTTCTTGTTTAAATAAATGTTCTTGATTTGATAACTTGGTTTCAGCAATCGATAAATCAGATTTATTAGCCTTTTCTAATCCTGATGAAACACCACTCGTTGTTATTTGCTCTTCAGTGTCTACTGGATTAGTATTATTAAATATTGGTTGGTTATCATCAATAGGGGGACCATGTGGTCGATGTTTACGCTTAAACAACCTACTGAAAATACTTTGACTGTGAGAGTTTTGTTGAATAGGTGGAGTATCGGGATTTAAATTATCTACTAAAGTTCCATCAGATTTATAAAATTCATTTAAATCATCGAAACAACCAGTTTCTAACATCTAAAAGAAAAGAAAAACCAACCACAATACCACATTTAGTTAGATAAAGGCTATAAATTTCTCTAACGACAGATATCAGTAAAAAGAGAAAAACAAAAGAGGTTTTCCACATTGACCTACTTATCTTCTTACGTGTAACACTGATAGTGCTTATTCAATAATTGTAGTAAAGGCGATGTACGCTTAAAGTGAATCACTAGATCGAGCCCGAATTCTACCTGATTTGACTAAACATTCAATAAATTTAGAACGTCATTTGATATCAACCAATTGATTCATCATTGTATATTTTCTAACCACACGTACTGCGTACCAAAATTTCTTACACCAAAGAAAAATGTTTCATTGCAACTATTTCGTTACTACATATTCAACAAATTTTATATATTAACAGCATCTCCGCATCCTGTGAGGTAAGTTAGCGATCCTTTAACAAGCATGAGATTTACGAAAAGTCGGAGAAAGAAAGTGTTTTCGTACAAACATACATTTTAAGGGATCTGTCTGAATTTAAGAGCCAGTAAATTCATTCGTCTGAGTATTAGAAAAGATGACGGATACTTACTGAACCATATAAGTTCAGTTACTAATAAAAATTTCTGAAATAATCGTAATCTGTGGTTTTGAACCTTAAATGTCAATAGAACCTGACACATATATGTATCGCTTCAATTCGCCAAACTCCAGTATAGCAGAGGAAGATAAAACTATCCAGACAAATCCCAAAATAGTAGAAGTAGTAACAGTATCAGCAGTAGTATAAAGGATTATGTTTAGAAAAAAAGAAATAAATAGGTATAAGATTTCGAGATTCAATAACTAAAGGGAGATAAAGGGTGAACACACCATTGTCAATGGTTCTGAGCCATGTTACTCAAAGTCACTAACCATTTATTTCAATATTCATGAGAACTTAAATAAGGTAGTCTACACAAACCTACATGGCTCAGACCAACAGTCAATGATCTTGTGGACTGAAGACATGTATCGGTCCGGTCACTCCTAACTTTCTTCCGACCTACTCCTACTCTAGACAACATCCCCCGTCGAAGTAGGCGGTGATTGTGCATATGTAACACAATATCTCAACCCCGTCAGTTGATTAAGATTTACTACTTCATCAACTGATTAGTCATCTTTATCTAATGTCCTATTCCTAATGCACTGTTCACTCGGTGGTCACGAAATACACATACGAATATTGTATATTCTTAATGGTCATGCTTCAAATCCATAAAGTAGGACAGGGTGAAATGTTGTACAGTGAACTTTTCCTTTGGTTGGTAGACGGGCATTTCACTTAAGCCACGGGAGGCGCAATTGGTAGAAGCTAGACGGGTCTTCTGAACATGTGCCGAGATTTGATCAAGAGTTAACTCCCCAGGCGCATATGTATTTGATGTCCCTTTGTACCAATGTTTATGTGTTTAAATAAGTTAATATAACTCCCCAAAATGATGAGATTTCAGGGACAAGTAAACTAATTGATGTGCCCAACTACTTTCCTCCTATCATTAGTTGAGGTGCTGACTCAGATCAGCTTTCGATGACATGAATAAAAATATGTTACAGCGGCATTATATATATATATATATATATATATATATATATATATATATATATATATATATATTATACACTTACTTCATTCTGCCATGGTATACTAACAGCACCAGAACAAAACTTTTTATAAAATTCCATATCTTTATTGTCTAAAGTAACACCTTTAATTGTAGAAAACTGTTCAATATCTAAAACATCCTTTGCATAAACTGCATGAGGCTGTAAGATAAAAACAAAAATATATGGGAAACACTGAGAACAAATAAACAAACAATTGGTAAAGTAACAACAATCAGGTTAAGTTACAGTAGAATGATTCCATTGTTATAAAAGTAAAAAGATATCCATTCAATAAAGAAAAAATCGATTTTAGAATCTAGTATGTAAAGTTTAAGTCAAAAATTGGAGAATATAGCCAAAACTAAATTACAATTATTAAAAAATAATAGTATCAGTGAAGGAAATATTCTTTTTACCGAAATCATTCACTTAAGCTGTAAATTCGTATTTATAGTTATTTCATAAGTATATGAATTTATAGAAGAATAGAAGAAATTGCATCATAGAGTAGTGATCTGAGATTTCAAATATCAGAAGGTTGCGTAATGAGCAAGGGGTCAGAGAAAAATAAGAAGGTTTACGGGTCAGAATTATGACACACTTTTTCATCTAATGATCTACCAGGTCAAAAGAATAGGATCAGAGGGAAGTTGAATGAAAACCATATGCACTACGGAGGCATTGATGATCCATCAATTTAGGCCAACCTTTCATTTTCCCATGAACCTAGTTCCCTTCTCCAGTATGTTTTGGCTTTGTTTCTGTTTTTATTATTATTTTGTGATTTTTTTAAACCATAATCAGTTATTACTAACGTCTAAAGTTCATTTATGATTATTATTCGATTGTTATCATGACTTGTACGTTTTTCATTTCTTCTTCTTCATGTTTGTTAAGTGGATAACCTTCTTTTGATACTTGTAATCTCGGATCATTATTTTATGACGTAATCTCTTCTATCCTTCTATAAACTTATATACTTATCAAATAGCTATACATACTAATATACAGCTTAAGTAAATGATTTCGTCGGAAAGAATACTTGCTTCACTGAATTCTCTTTCCTATTTTTATTCAATGATATAATTAGGAATACATTTCAGTAATTAAGTACATATTGACGTACATATCATTCAATCACAATTTGTGGCTTGAAGAGAGGAGAGAGGTGAACGGAGAAGATTGCGTGATATTAGCCCACGAAATGAGATCTTTGATTCCAGTTTGTAATCAAATGTCTAAATTACTGAATTGCACAAAATAACTAAGTGTAAATATTATGAGTATTGAGGTTTAGACATTAGTAGCTTATTTTCTAATTATTCAATGAATGCAACAGTATTTGTTTTTTCTATCTAATTAGCTTAACTGAGATCACAACTGATTAACCATACACACACAAATAGGTGAGAAATTCAGATAGAGCTACTGTAGTGAATGGTATATTTTTTATCTTTCTTTATCATTTGAGAGAACGAAATCCACGTACATTAGAATTCATGAACATTAATTCAAATAAAAATCCACTCAAATACCCTAATTTAATAAATACAACATATGTAGGGGTAGAATTATTTCAAAACTTTCGGGTTTAAAGATAAACAACCATATTTTTTAATAATTGTCGCAAAGATATTTCTTAAACATGTTCTTCTAAGGCATTTGGAATTGACAGTGACAGATAAAATCTAACCAGTATTGAAGTATCTGTATGATTGATTTCCATTCATGCAAAAAACCGATTGTTAAAAATAAAAAAACTGTTTTCTACTGGAATGACGAAACCAAAAGTTTGGTAAAGACCTAACTTCTCCACTATCAAAGTAGTTCAACAACTGATTTTAGATTGAAGTAGTGATCTAGGAAGCAGTTTTTATGTTCAGATTGCTTCTATTGCCATCATATACCTTACTATATACAGTTCGAATAATATACTATTTGAACCTATCAAAAACTTCCTGTTTTAATAGGTAACTTTTCCCTTTTCCATTTGTTACTAAGTAACTAGATACTAAGTATGCAAAGACAATAAGTTGCAGTGATAAAATATCTTGATACCATGACCCAGTCATAAAATCTAATCAAATCAGTTATAAAAATTAGTTCACTTGAATGTTTCCGAACACTAACTCTACACAATTACTACAAAGCATAACTGTGTAAGTCGATAATTTTCTTTTTTTTCCAAATACCTAATCGACTTTCTCAAAGACGTTCACTAACTTACGTATTGAAAGCAACTGTTCATATTAAAACATATGGTTGGTGAAAATATGCCTAATTGTGAGAGGTTTTTATTAATGGAACCTAGCATTAACCACGTAACACTGAACTGAGTTGATCCATTCTAGTGTGTAACATTTCAGTTGCGCATAGTGATGATCGCTTAAATGATTGAATATATCCCATTTCGATTTCACAACAAAGAGCACAATGGCGCTTAAGCGATTCAACTAAAATCTCATAATTTTAATTATATTTAACTTTAGAATACTAGTGATATAGTACAATCATTATCGAATAATGTAGGTGGGCAAATATCTCACACTAGATTCAGTAACTCGATATTTTGTAAACTGTGTTTTGGTGTTAGGTCGTTGGAGATATTCAATAGGAAGTCAGCTTAATTTGATCACTACTAAAGAACTACACACAAACATGGCACTGGACCCTACTCAGTAATCAATCAATGCAAAATAACCCGGTATTACATGGCGCTAGTCGTGGCCTGAACAAATCAGTGATAGCGTTTCAGACTGCGAATCTGGATAATCTGAGATCTAAATCCACAAAGAGCATCAATTCCAACAAAAATTAGGGTTTCCTGTCGACCACTTCTAACCACCTAATTAATTTTATTTGGCAATAATGAATATTACAATGATCTCAGAGTTATAAGTAATACAAACACACACATTAACAGTTAGAAACAACAGTAAACATAACTTTGCAATAATTAAAATTATTTACAGCTAGATAATACTGTTTGTTAACGAAATCTCCCCTTAGACGTGAGTCTATCAGCACGAGCACATGTTAGTTTTCAGTTAGTCGCAACGTAGAACGCAGTATGTACTTACATAGTTTTGAGTTACCACACCTAATTAGCACAGAGAGATGACATAGTTAAAGCAAATCCTAGAGAGTAGTAAAGGTAGTGATAGTATTGGCGGTAACAGAAAATATTAGGCATAGAAGAATCGATTCGAGAAGAAAATATAAATTATTGAAATAAAAATAACTAAGGAATTCAGAAGCTTAGAATATGGAGGGAGACAAATATCGGATGCACCTGTGCCATTTCAAATGATTTTGGGTTATGTTATTTAAAGTTTCTAACCAACGCTTACGATAATCGCACGGACCCTGACCAGATAGTCTACACTTGTCAACATGGCTCAGTTCAATTGACAATGAAATCATGAGCTAATGTCATGTTTTGGTTCGACCGCTCCTAGTTTTCTTCCGGCCTACAACAAGTTGACGTTTATGATCATTTAATATACAAATCAATTGTTTTTGGGATTTTCCCATTTTACCGATCAATAGCAACACTTCTTTTTTTTTAAAAAGTGATAAGTCGAATGATTACCCCATAGGTATCATTTAGCTTTAATAATAAAAAAATAACAACACGAACAAAATGGTTCTAAAACGTGATAATTTACACGTCTATGTACTTGGCATTTCTGTATATTTAGTGTGTGAGTTTGAAAGATAGCTAGTGATACTATCCAGTTGGTCAGATACACACATACGTAAAAGTGAACAAAGCGTTTTCTTTTTTGAAAGTTAGAACTTAATATTTCAAAGCCGTACGGATTAACTGTTAATAAAGATTTTAAAAAATACTTCATAATCATTGTAATTTGAATGACGAGCAGTTGTAAGTTAGATCACTACTGAAAAGCTGGAAGCACCGGACGGCCGTTTCACCCTAATAATGGAACTTCTCAAAAGAGCGCATCCATGACCTTACAGATGGGGATCGAATCTGGGACTTTCAGTCTTGTGAGCACACGCCTAACCTCTAAACCATTAGTCGGAATTCAACGGTGTTAATGTCACGAAAATGCGCAAACACTATCCATTGTTTGTGGTAGATTACTATCTTACAACCGACGTAGTTGTGTTCCATTGGTCGCGGCTTCTCACTAGAACCCCAAGAGTTCCATCTTGAAGCCAGTCAGTAGTGAGAACATAATTATTATTAGTATGGTCAAATTTGTTACCATTGAAGGATTTTCAGTTTAAACCATTATTCATGAATACGGGCTCGTGGATGCACATCGCTGAGGAGTCCCGTACTAAGAGGAAACGGTCATCCAGTGCTTCCAGTCTTTTAATAGTGGTCTAAGATCAGCTCGTAATTTAAGCCATGAAAATTCTGCATTCTCCACAAGTCCCCCTTGACACCCATATTAACCGATTCGTTATAATCAAATAATATCTCACTTTGCTTCCAAAATATATCATATCTTAACACTACACTAATAATATCATAAACGCAAAAGTCTATACGTCTATTCACCAAAAAGCCCTTATCTACCTAAAAATAATAAAGACAAAACATAAAATGATCTTGTTCTACTATCAGCATCCATCAATTTCAAGAGACTAGAAGGAATGAAACTGAGCAAAATAAACTGTAGGAATTGATATATAAAGGTTTCCCTTATTGGCATCGTTGTCATCATCATCATCATCGAAACAATTACGTAATCACGAAAAACTAAACGACATATTTATCAGTCTAGTATGCAAATATACACACCATTATAGATTAAACAACTAAGAAATTTGACGCAATGAATTACTTTTAGCTATAATTTCAGAAGTACATGTTAAACCGAACACACAATTTAAGTCACACGTTACAAGTTTGCAAAAATTAAATCTATAGCCTAATGATTTAAAAATTAACAGTTAACTGTGAAAGTATTAAAGGCTATTTCAATGATTGGTACTTTGATGAAGAAACTGGACAAATGTTTCGTCACAGCATGAGACTCTTCAGGAGTGTACATCCACAACAACTGAACATTCAATCAATCTTCAAAATAACTCAACGATCATTCATTCTCATTAGTGAAAACTATTTCACTTCCGTTATGTCTGAACTCCACCGATCATGACAAAATAATTGTCCAGTGTTCCATTGTTTTCAATGATACCTCAACTTATGTTAATCCATGACAAATACAGCCTACCAATTAAACTAATTTTCACAAAAATCCTATAAACTAAAAGTATAATTATTCCTTAGTTACATCCTTGATAAAGTTATCTGTTAAAATATATAAAAATGATACTATTCTTTAAAACATATTTCATCAATAATTGCATATAACAAGAATACGAATTTCTAACATGATAAGTTGATTCAAATTTAATGTATTTCAATGTTTTGATAAATCTTAAAACAATCTCAATAGGATCACATTCAGTAAAATGTAACTCAATAGAAATGTACACATTTACTATCTAGGATTTTTAGCATATTAACAATGTAGATTAATTATAAAAAGTTATAATTATCAAATGATGAGTATAAATCAAAGTGCTTAGAAGGGTGAATTTTACACTGTAACCACGGGGGGATCAAGAGTTACATTAAGTGCGACTGAACTATGAAAGTTGGCTAGATATTTCTTATATTAGAATTAAATTTAACATTACTCAAGAAATTTCAAAAATTTTATTTCCTTTGTTTTTACGTGTATATGTTGAATAAAATTTTCTTTTTAAAGATGAACTTACTCAAATTAGTAATTTTTCATAAGTTCTGCATTTCTAGAAAAATGATGCAACAAATTAGGGATATTTTTTGTAATCGTAAATTTACTTAATTTATTTACTCGTAATCCTACAAATTTAGATATAACTTGATATTAAAATTATAATTATTATTAACCTAAAACCTTTTAGTTTGATATAATTAGTAAATATAATTAGGAGCTATGAATATGTGCGCTTCGACTTTGGTGAGACTCATCAGAGAAACGAATGTCGGACTTGTTACATGTGACACAACTTATTATTTTATCATCGCTAACAAGATATTAAGTTATCTTATTTAAATGAGTATTAAGTTAGTGAATTAAGATTTCACTGTTAGTTAGACAGTATTAATCTATAAATATATATCCACTTGGTTTATTGGCAAAATATAAAATTATAATGTTATAACTTTAACTAGGTTAGAATAGCTGTTTCGCGTAATGCTTAACGCTCTTAAAGAGTATTAACCCTTATGTTAGCTAACCGATTTTCAAATATTGTGATGTGAGATAGAACCAAAGCTCTGAACTTTTAAATTGTATCGTTAGCCTTCAATATATATTATATGAACTTATATTATTTGTAAGAAGCATAATGTCCAGATTGATAAATTTATTTATCGCCAACACATGTTTATTTTCGTAATGCGTACCAAAGTGGTAAACTTACATCAGGAAGAAATGGTGCATCCTCAAGTCCAGCTTCTAAACGTACCCAATTGATACAGGAAAACCAGTTGTGATGCTTAACACCTTCGGGACCAGCATCATCGCAACCAAGTCGACAATGTGGATCTTTTTGTAAAAGCTTAAAAAAAGGTATGACGAAGAATTTAGATTTGATTATACAAGACATAAAAGCACTCTAGTGAAATTTCAGAAAGTAAAAACTAACCATCACGAATGTAGATTAAGACAGTCGCTAAAATCAACCAAGATTTATTATTATTACTACATGTATATTTAAAAAATACACAACACACCAATTATTAATTGAAGGAATTTAAACAATTTTTATAGGTCACATAGATGATCAGATGAAATTAACAATATTATTACTATTCACCTAAGAGGTTTAAACTAAGAGTCAATTGTGTTAAAACCCCAGTATCTAATTCAATGATCTGGTTACATGTTCCTGAAAGATAGTACTTTTCCAAAGAAAAAGTATATTAATAGCCCATAAATATTAAATAGAATTCTATATCTGTTGTATTACATAAAACACCAAATGAGATTTTTTTATAAAAAAAAAAGATTAACCAAATTTTTTTCGGATGTGTTTGCCTTCGATCGTGGGCGGATGAAAAGTATTCAAATCTTCTACCGAATACTATCACTCTAAAGATTTCATATACATATACATTGTTGACAAGTATGGAATTTCGGTTTTCTACCAATGGCTTTCATTTATTAAACATTAAAGTGCACATTGTTGATTTATCAAACCATATAGATTAGCAAACTGTAAAGTGTTAGATGAACACTTGATTACCTAAAATGATAAGACAGCACACAATATCGGTTTCTATCAAGTGATAATTAATAGAAACTTGTATATACAAGTTTAGACATACTATAATTAGAAAATCATATAGTAAACAGACTGTAATCATATATATATATATATATATATATATATAGTGTATTTACGATCAGTTTGTAATATTAACTACAAAAACCCTATCATCTCCACAAAACCCTTTACTGATAAACTAAGTTTGAATTGCTTCCGTTTTGATGAAGTAACAATCACTGAATTGTTAAAGTCTGATTTTCCTTAGTGTTATATTTGTAGCTTGATTGCATCATAGTATCCTTCTTTTATTTGCTATCTATTACTAAACCCTACTGTATTATTTTTATATTTTTATCATCATTATTATTATTACTGGAATTCTACTAATCTCATAGTTCAGTAAAGTAAGCAAATGTATCCAATATGTTATTACATCTATTCAAGCCAAAACGTTAATCCTCAAAAGAATTCTTTATATCTATTCTCTTCACTTAGTATTTCTTTTCTTTCTTCAACCATTACAATATATTCATTACATTATTCAATAGGTAATCGATGAAATAGCAACAATAACAAGTAAGTGTTTACTTCCAACAGTATATTTATTACACCACAAAACAAATATGAAACAATCAGTTGTGTTTACGTCACAAGACTGACAAGGAGTAGATGTACGATATACAGAAATATTGTAAAAATGTTTTGGAAAAAAAAAAAAATATATATATATATATATATATATATATATATATATAAATCACTGCACATTATGTAAACAGACAAAGATTTATACATGAAAACACAAATTTACACCAAAAATTATTTTTTTCAATTATTTTATTTAACTTTGAAAATTGCACTTTTTCAAAAGCAGACAAAAAAAACGAGAACAATTTCACTGTGAAACGATATAAAAAACAATTTCTAGTGTATTTAAATTAGTTAGACGATTTTTATGTGTTTGTTTGTTAATAAAAGTTAATGTTATTAGTGTTATTGTGATTTTATAGAATTATTTTTCAAACTTTGAATAACATCTCTGTAATCAAGTACAGGTTGATCTGATCAACAATCATTTATATTTTCTATATGTGCTAGTTAGTTAGGGATAGTTGATATGAACCTTTAGATCTAAGTTTCATGCTAGTTGATATTCGTTATAAAAGTACACCTGAAATCTAAAGGGAACTAATCGTTCTTGTGAGATTCGAATAGGAGTCATTCAACTTAACAATCTAGGACTTTACCACTAGGTTATTCAAGTAGCGACGGACCTCTTACAGGATTGAGATATGACGACTGGTTGAGTAGCGGCGAATGTCATATTCGTTTAGCTCTTTTATCACTGATCAGATTCTCTAGAATTTTCTTGGCAAAGTGGAGTACACAGGTACTACTGTAGTGAACAAAACACTAGTTGGGGACAATCGAATGTATTTAAGCAAAGATTACAGACTATCTCAATAAATTCTGATTACCAAACAATGAACAGTCAATTTGCAAATTAACAACCAATTGTTTCAATCTTTATTGTTTCTTCTTTTATTCCATTGCTCATGCATTTTCCAGACGTTTGCGTTTCATTTCAGTTCTTTCCTCATCGGTCTTCTGCGAAAATACATTATATGTCTGACCCACACCATATACTACTTATATGGATATAAGTAGACCACATCACACTACTACTCAACTTTTTAAATTGAAGGAATTGCACTGAGGCTCTATATCATCCCATAATAATAATTGAAAATTAAGTTCTTAAAATGGTTTGTAACTATCAAAATAATATTTGTACATGTATGTTAAACGGTAGCAAAAATAATCCACATCAGAAAACCTGAAGCATTACATATTCTATCTTAAATTTTTTTCAATATCAATGATACTATGATTCTAACAAACTTGCTTTTCATCATATTAGTTTACTCACTCCTTTAATATGGTGGTGTAAAGTGTAGTAACTCAGGTTAAATACTGTTTATTACTCTAAACAGATAGATTAATTAAACAAGCAAAGTTAATTTCACTCTACGTTTATTTGAAGCACTTACATAAAATGATTTTTGTAATAATAAAAGAGATTAGTCATACAATCATATAATATTAACTTACAGATTGACAAAATTTTTTTGAATTATCGGAAAATTTATAATTATATTCTTCTGTGTCTTCACATACACGACGATCAACTTCTTCACGCCGAATACGTTCTTTACGTCGACGAAATGGTGCTTGTCCCATAATCATTTCGTAAACAATACAACCTAATCCAAACCAATCGGGACTGAATGTATAACGTGTATTCATGACTACTTCAGGTGCTATATTAGTAGTAAGTAAATTGAAGTAAATAATAATAATAATGGGCAACTGACTTTTGATGACAAATTAATGACAATAAAATTTAAATTCAGTATAGTTATGTTACTAAGATAACAATTCACTAAGTCGACTTGAATTACACATAGAACACACATGTTCTACCTATACCTACACATACAATGAATACACGACATTAACTATACAACAGATTTTGTAAGCGATGAACAACAAGTTCCATTACATGACTGATTGTTTTAAGTAAATTTCATTTACAAGGTATCTAGTTATTTTTCGATTAAAATCAAACGTATAGTTTAAAGTCAAATGATTAACAATATTGGGAAAGATTCAATTTTAAATTTTATTTGGACACAGTGTTTGAAATAAAACGATGAAAATTGTGAATACATCGTTTTTACCTGTTTACACATGATGTAAGCTGTGAGACCTTCAGCATTGACAACAGCTGTTAATTAGCCCTGATAGTTTAAAGATGCTTAGAGAAACGAAACATTTTCGAAAATACCAAGCGTCAAACACTTGCAGGCTTTCAATAAGAATGTGGATCCCATTTCACAGAAGCAATAAGTCAGACCACTTGGAGATAACACTGATGATCAGCCCTGAGGATTTTTTTTAATCTCGAAAGAGTGGAAATGTGACTGCTGAATTATTTAGCTCAGAAAACCATGAAAAATTATGGAGCACCTGAGAGCTATTTAGACTTAGTTAATAACTCCAACACCCCAGACACATAAACTAGCTAGGGATTGAATCATGAACTTTCAGATTCTGTGTGAAACGCGTTACCTATAGAACATGATAGATAGAGCTTAACCATGTTGGAAGTGGGACAGGTCACACTGATTGGATTGTATAATTGTTTTGTTATATTCCGTGAACCACTGAATTTCGACTCAGTAGTATAGAAAATATAACATTCAATTGACAACAGTGCAAATATGGTTTTCAGGTAGCTTAAAATGTATTGGTTTTATCGGTGCACTATCATCATATATCTCTCCAGTTAAAATTCGGACTATGGTTCAAACTCATTAGTATATTGCAAAAAGATCTGATTACAAATTACTGACTTATTATTTCTGAGTACAATTAGTAGACCTAAAGCTTGCCTTTATGAATTACTCAGGTAATTATTCAATGATAAGTTGATAACATTACAATTCAGCGTGAAAAAATACATATGAGAATTTCAAATTTTAATTACGAATTAAGATCTATGGAATCAGCAACGTTTGATGTTTATGTCAATAACTTTTACATTTAAATCAAAATACCGTTCGGATTTCAACGATAGCTTTTAATCCAATGTAACAAAACGGAGAATTTATGGACGGTAGATTACCAACACCTATATACTGGAGTCTTAAATCATAGTTTTTATTGGTTATTCATTTTGTTTCCATGTTTGATAAAAACTATTTTTCAATGAGAGAAAGACTAGTATGTCCCAAGAAATATTTTACTGCGTCTACAAAAGATAATATTATTGCACAACACGTTTGTATATGCTTATCAACAGATGACCTGGAAAGCATAAGACAAAACAAATCAGAAGGAAATGCAGTCAATGTATTGAACGTATTATATGAACTCAAGGTGGGATTTACAGCCCTTAAAGGTGAGAATTCCAAATGTGCTAATAAACAAACGATATATATATACATATATATGTAATTATCCCAATGAGTAGGAAAATTGTATTTCTTACTAACTCTCTACCTAATGCTCAATGTATTTGAAACTATCAAGAGCAACCTTGGCATCGATACCTATAAACGATATTTTAGAGGTAAACTCAATAGAAGCCTATAAAAGGTTTAAAAAATAGTGAATTTCTGAATATGAAGGCTACGTTTTAGACAAACAAAACATTTGACTTTCCATCTATGCACAATCATAATTGTTATCTGCTTCTGGAATCAACTCATTTTATAAGTGAAATTAACGATGTATAAATAAAGACAAACAATCAAACACTGCTGTCATTATCAGTTCATCTTCCTTTCATATACTATTCAAAGAAGCATGACCAGTAGCGAATTAAATTTCCATGTATCAGGGATGTAAAAGAATAACAAATAGAAAGTATAAGGGAAAGATTGGTAAAGTGACATTCCAAATTTCAGTTGCTGTATAGTTATAGAACATATTTTCATACAAATTCTGGAGCAAAATAACATAGTGAATGGATGGTGGCTAGCAGTGGAATCCAAAACGTGCGTTCCGCCTTAAATGGGTATCGTCAGCTGTATATATATATATATATATATATATATATATATATAAAGTAGACCAGTTAAATATAGATAAAACAGGTGAGTCCTAAACTTACCCATATAACCAGCAGTTCCAACTCTTCCTTTAGCTGTACCACCAGGTTCAATATATATTGCCAAGCCAAGATCCGAAATTCTAACGTGTCCTGGTTTTAAAAAATATTATGATTAACAAAACGTATTAGTAGATAGAAATGTTCAATATCTTTAAAAATAAATTTGCAAAACCATCACATATACTTTGCAGCATTTCCTTAAACTCAGTAAAAATATGAAAAGTTAAGTTAGAAGTTACTTCATGGCAAAAAAATATCAATTTATGGATTTTATATTGGTATATACAGTATAGTTGTGATGAGAGAATAAGTCATCCGTTGTTCGTTTTCTCCAGATTATTTACTAGTTAAACAGGCATATGACCAGAGGAAAGAGAGAAACAGAGTATATTCAATTGCATTAATTTCATGCTAACGCTTTTCATTGATACATCTTTGATGAATTAACTATCAAAAGAAACTTTTATGTTAAGAATGAAGCGATTTATGTCGACTAAGATGGTTGAAATTATATATTTAAGGAATGAAGATATGTAATTCTTAACCCTAAAAATGTGATCTGCTTACGATGAATAAACAAGTATGAAAAAAGAGAATGAATTTACAGATGAATCAGACTGTGAAACATGATTTATGTAAGGAATTACACCTCTATAGGCGTTAATACATTGCTGATTCAACTATTTAGCTAAAGATATAACAAGCAACAACGGTGGTGATGGATATTTAAACCCAACCAATTACTTTGAAAGAATAATTATTAAATTGTACAATTAGTGCAGAAAATGTTGTAAAATAGATGGGATCACCGTCAGAAAGATATGTAAGAAGTGGCTCTGTTATAAGTTTTTGATATAAATAAAATAATACATATGCTTTTTCTAGCATTTTGCCTATCGAAACAACCGAAACCAACTCAGCTTAAGCAGAAAATAAAATTCATTTGCTATGCAGTCAGAGAATTCTTAATTTCACGATTCACTACTTACGGGAGTATACTCTGATTAATTCTTCTATAATGAGTTACGAGAAGTGTATTTTTTGTGGTAAACTATAGTTACTGTAAATGTTAGCTAAATTTATAAACAAACCCATGGAGGCAATAAACGAATGATTACAAATGAAAAAGCAAGTAGCTGAAAACGGAATGAAAATGTAATACTAAGACTGAGAGACTAATTACCGAAACTCCAGATATCCTACTGTATGTATAAAACCAATAATTCACAGAAACCTGACCACGTTAGTTAATATTCTCGATCCGGTGAGTACAATACAATGTATCTAAGCAAACGCCTAATTAAGATTAAATAGAACTGGTCACATCCAGTACCTTATTTAGATTTTAACTGATGACTTCTGTACTGAAATCTATGGTAAGGGCTCGAAATTATTTGGAATATGCTGCGCAATTCACTACAAGAAGTAGATTCTTATGCGCCAAAGAGTTGTCCATCTCTTGTTTACATTCAAATGACAATATTTACATTGTTAGGGCTCCTAGAATTATCGTTCGTTAAACTGTAGAAGCAATCATAATTCCTATCAAAACAATTTGACTCGTGAAATGATAAAGATTTGTAGCTCAGATGAATGCTTTTGGATATGTCGTGTCTGTAGAGCTCTATCTTATTTAATTCAGGGGCGTTATGTGTTGTTTTGAACAACATTATCATAGCTTACTTCACGTAAAATTTATCCAGAAAGATAATGAAAGCTTAGCGATTGAGCCATATAGCTAAAACAACACAATGCAAACAAAAAGTTGACTTATTTATTTCAAAGAAATCAACAGGAATTAATGGCTGTCGAATTAATAAACACATGTAGCATCACATAATTCGTATTTTTTACACAATTTTGTAAGCTTTGGAAAAAAGAAGTTAGTTGTGTGCTTTAGGTTTAAATACGCTTACGACATGAATATGAAAGAACTATTTGACTTATCACAAAGAATCACACATGGAGTTGGAAATCAAATTCAAAGAAGCTCAATAAATATTGATTCAAACTGTTCACTGGTCTAAAAGTTATCCTGTCAATAGTATAAATAAATTTTGATATGTAAGGAATTACAATACACAACTGAAGATTTTAAGAATGGAATAATTGAATAGAATATGTTTTTTTCATTTAACTAACCGTTCTTATATTAATAGTAATAATAATAATTATTATTATGATAATAATAATAATGAAAAACATTTGTACTATTTATGTATTCTAGAAACTAATTTGAGAACAGCAAAAATAAATTAATTAATACGATTTTCGGTTGAGATGAAAAATATTTTATTTATCCTAACCAATCGTTTGAATGATTCAATAAGGATCACTAGCTTTGTCCGATGGCCTACCAGAGACTAAACAGCTGTGGTAAATAATCTAACAAGAGAATTCAATAAAAACTGAATGACTTTCAGTTCTTAATATGGTACTTCAACATAATGAAAAATATGTGTTCTAAATCAATAAGTACCAAAATAAAATCTACGATGATACAGTCAATGAATGTATCTTTTGGCAAGTGTTGTTAATAATATGGAAAAAGAAGCAGAAAAACTAAACGATTTCGAACTTGTTCATTCATAATCATTATTAAATTGATATCGACAATGTGCAGATAAGCTTTAAAAAATAGTCTACTGAATCAAAGATAATTTATACAAGCAAACAGAATGAACGTAGTTTTAATGAGAAGCAATGAAAATAATTGAACAATAAAGAATTACCAACCTTGATCATCAATCAAAATGTTTTCTGGTTTTAAGTCACGATAAACAATATTTTGTGTATGCATATGTTGTAAACCTAAAGTGATTTCTGCGGCATAAAATCTTGCTCGATTCTCATTGAAACCACTGCCATTATTCATATTATGGATATGGAATTTAAGATCACCGCCATTCATAATTGTAAGAACTAGGCACAAAGCATCTTTGGTTTCAAATGTATACGCCAGATTGACCTGAATATATCAGCAATAATAAGAATAATAATAATTAACAGGATGAGATTATGAAATAAACATGTGAAAATGTACGTTTATTTTGACTAAAAATGAATTGTTTTAAAAGAAAAGTGCATTAATCAATATCATATTGTCTATATTCCCAGTTTTTGCTGTTTCGATTAATAATTTACTATGAGCATCTTCATAAACTTAGCTTTGAGGCTCACTTCTAGCGTAGGGGTTAAGGATATACCCAAATGCCTAAAATGGAGTAGGTGGAGCATGGTCAGAAGAATCTGTGATCCAATGATTGAAAGCCGAATGTTTTAATAACTAAATCGCAATTGTTGTTTTTGTATATTGTGAATAAACAGGACGACCATTTAAACAACCTCTAGCAAATTATACTACTAGGAGACATCGCTTGCGTACAATAAATGTTTTATATCACTTTATTATATACGTACTGATAATATATACATACTTACGCCTGTTACCGCTCGTGGAGGAGCATAGGCCTCCCACCAACATTCTCCATTCAACTCTGTCCTGGACAATCATTTCCAGTCGCTATTCATCTTTTTCACATCAGCTTGCAATTCCCGACACAGTGTGATCCCTAATCTTCCTCTTTTCTGTTTCCCTTCAGGATTCCAAGTTAGTTCTAGCCTCGTAATTCAGTTTGAAGATTTCTGTAACGTATTTCCTATCCACGGTATCCGGCAAACGGACATTCAGTACCTTGCATAGACAATTGTTTATGAATAAATGTACCTTTTGATGATGGTTGTGGTAGTTCTCCAAGTTTTAGCTCCATATACTACAACTGTCTTGATGCTCGTATGAAAGAGTCTGAACTTGATATTGGTTGACAGTTGTTTTAAGTTTCATATGTTCTTCAACTGTAGGAATGCTGTCCATGATCTCCCAATACTCGCCATTACACCTACAACTGACCCTCCATGTTCATCGACGATGCTACTTAGATACGTGAAAGATTTCACCTCTTCCAGAGCTTCTCAATCAAGTGTGATTGAGTTGGTGTTCTCCATGTTGTATTTGTGGATCTCACTTTTTCCTTGCGTATGTTGAGGCTTACTGATGCAGAGGCTGCTGCTACACTAGCTGTTTTCACTTGCATTTATCGGTGTGTATGGTATGTTAGGGCCAGATCATCTGCGAAGTCCGAATCGTCTAGTTGATTCTGAGAGGTCCATTGTATTCCGTGCTTCCAGTCAAATGTCGAGGTCTCCATAATCCAGTCAACCACCAAAAGAAAGAGGAAGCAGCCTTGTCTGACTCCAGTCTATAGTTGGAATGCGTCTGTCAGCTGTCCTCCATGCAACGTTTTGCAGTGTAGTCGTATGATTTTGACAATCCTCTCAGGTATTCATACCAAAGTGTCGAAGAAGTTTGCATCACGCTATCCTATCCACACTGCCAAACGCCTTCTCATGGTCAAGGAAGTTAATGTATAGTGATGAGTTCCACTCAACCGATTGTTCAACGATGATCCGTAGTGTCACGATTCGGTCTGTGCAAGACTGATCCTGACGGATTCTAGTCTATTGATCTGGAAGCTGAGTGTTTACTGAATCTTTCATCCGGTTCAGCAACACTCTGGTGAAAAATTTTCCTGACACTGACAACAGTGTGATGCCTCTGTAATTCTCACATTTGCTCAGATCGTCTTTGTTATTGTCTTGTTATCTTGATGAGGTGTCCTTCTTTCCAGTCTATCAACATTTGTTCTTCCTACCAAATCTTCCTCAATAGCTTTGCAGTTACTTCAATGTCTGATTTTAGTGCCTCAGCTGGTATGTTGTCATGTCCTGCTGCTTTCCCATTCTTGATTTGTTTGATGGTCATCTTGATTTTTTTCGATCGTTAGTGGAGTGACATCTATAGGTAGGTTTGTGTGTGCTGCTTCGATGTCCGGTGGATTCAATGGAGCTGGTCTATTCAGCAGTTCCTCGAAGTATTCTGCCCATCTTTTCCTCTGTTCTTGAATCTCCGTGATTGTCTTACCTTCTTTGTCCTTGACCGGTTTCTCAGGTTTACTATATTTCCCTGCCAGTTTCTTTACAGTGTCATATATTTGTTTTATATTTCCTTCTCTTGCAGCTTTTTCCGCTGTCGTTGTTAGGTATTCCACGTATTTCTGCTTGTCAGCTCTAATGCTCTTCTTCACTCGTTTGTTTGCTTCTGTGTAGTCAGCTTGTTCCCTGACTTTCTCTACTCGTGTTTGACTGTTGTTAATTGCTGTCTTCTTGTTCTTCCACTTTTCAATCTTGTCCAGGGTTTCCATAGAGATCCATTCCTTATGATGATGCTTCTTGCGGTCAAAAACTTCCCGGCACGTTAAAGTTAATGCTTCTTTGATCCCTTCTCAGTTATCCTCCATAATAATTTCTTCTTCTTTCAGTAGATTTTGACAGGCTTGTCACCTGTAGATAAGGGTTATCGTGAATTCGTTGCTTTTTTTAGTATCTCGAAGGAAGGCTGTATTGAACCTTTTTAATCCTGTTTCCCCAAATGCTCAGTGCTTCTTTAGCTTCGGTTATGTATATTCAATTTATCTTCAATTACATCCTCTGAATGCAAGTATTCTTTACATAACATTATTGACTTACTCGCACTTTTTTAGCTGTTCAGTTATCGTCGACTCAAACTAAGGCACATTCGTTATAAGCTTTTAGCTTACCAAACTTAGGTAATTCATGATTTTCTTACTAGGTATTTTATTTTGTATGACTTATAAGATAACCCTGATAAAAGCGTGTATCGAATAGTTTATCTTTTTTAAATAATAAATGTCAAAGCTATGCGTAATACAAAGGTGGTAGCAATTAAAGAGGATATAGACGTGACGGCAACAAATTCTAGAAGTTAATTTATAATAACTGCTTCTGCTAGCCGATATATCCTTACAACTAGTTATGTTTTTTAAACCTTGTGATCACGTTCTGGGATAGCTTATCTGATTTTATGACCCAGCAGCTATGATTAAACTACTCTGAGTTATATAGCTTGTGAATATAGATTATTTACAAGAAAGTGGAGGTTCACAATGAATTCCAATCACTCAAATGTTACAAAACATTTGATATTAAATAATTGATGTACAGTTCTTCTCAACGACGTAAACGAGATCTTAATCATCGGACTCATTGAAGTTTTTTAAATAGATATATTGCTCTCAATCATGCCCATTGTAATGCTTGTTTACAAAACAAAATGGCCATAGGTCTGGGTATCAGTTGTTCGAAAGACTAGATTACGCCGTAATTCAAGTTTTGTGAAAAAGCATGAAAAATGGACTCCAGGGTAGCACGCTGATGATGATTGATGAAAAAGAAAAAAATGTGGCAGCATGGACTTTCAATGGCCTATTTCTGACTCGATAATGATCGAACGATATTGATTTCAATGAAACATCCTGTTTACTTAACTAACCTTGTTGATAACAACGTAAGTATAAAAAGTTAAATACGAAAGTATCTAAGAAACGTATATTCCAAGCATTTGACAATGTAGGTGGATAATAAGAGACGAAAGGAAATGCATGTGGACTGCAGTTTCAGAAATACCCTAATCAGTGAGTAATAGGTAACCCAGTCTTTATTAGCACGAAAGAGATATATGTAAATACACGGACATAAACGTACTAGATACACGCATATATGAAGCATACTCAAGTTTACACTTGAGTAATTAACAAGGGCAAACATATAGGTGATAAAATGAATGGAAAGATTTAAAGTTTATCTGTCCAAAGGTTAGACCAAGCCAAGTAGGCATGTGATAACAGAGATCTACCGCGGATCTATCACGTGAAAAACTACTCTTATCATTAAGTGTAAAGATAATACGATTTTACCAAACCATAAAATACAGGCTTCTCAAAATGTATCTACTGGGTTAGTGATTTTGGTGGGTAATTTAACATGTACTGTGATTATTAAACAGTGGCTAGGAAATTACAGCACTTTCCTAACATCTAACTTTCTGGTTCAAACGCCGCCTCAGTTACTTTAGTTTGGACAGTGAAGTAGTCAGTAGCCCTCAAACGAACACGGACCTACACTTTAGTGTTAAGCTGCATTGGAAATCAAACTGTACAACATCGTGTAATGATCTATAACACAGATAGGAACCTATGTTGGCCCTTAGCCCTGATGGTGAGATACCGGAAGTAATTTGGGAAGATTATGTGCATGGGTAGTTGTGTGAGTGCTAGTGATGGTTTGCTAATCGAGATCGGTCGCGAAATCCAGACCAGCTTATGCCAAAGTTAGCCACTACTGGCGTCGTTATGATGTTGACCTAACCATGAATCTCCAGGTATATCGTATTGCAAAGCGAACAGTCCTTTTAGATTTATGAACCTGGTTACACTAGCCTGCGAACGTTAAAAGACTCTTTCAGTTTGATCGTTTCTCTTTTTAGGGGATTACCCACAGAGGGTGATAGCGTCAAGTGATTAATGCTGGTGTTCAGAAATTTGTTTGGAAATGGTGTAGACAACCCTTAAATCCGTAGTGTTACCGTGAAACAAGGTTTAATTGCTTGATAAAACTTTTAAGCATGATCTACCAACTGTTGAACAGAGTTTCCTGGCTCCGGAAATAGGACGGAAGTGGAGAGGTCAGTTCATGATGTGGAGTCGGAGAATGAAAAGCATTTGTTCTGGGTTCGCATGTCTTGGTATATCAATACTTTATACATAGGATAGTAAAATCATGAAACTCAGTGATTTTTGATGTTATCGAACAGTATAGTGGCTTAATGGTCAGCGGACAGCTTCAAGAGGAAAGTTTTATGTTCAAACCCGGCCTTACTTGGTTTTGGTTGGAGAGCTTAACAGTATCATTGCCCCCTACACAGACTGATTCCAAACAGTAAACTTAAAAGCATACTTAATAAATGAGTTAAATTATTGGGGTCAAAAGAGACACTAGTGCCAATTATGTTGGAGTTTAGCACACACACTCAAAATGTTACGATTTGGAAACCAAAATACTTTGTTAGTTTTGGACATAAAGGAAAAAAGTGAAAATTAACTCTAACTAATAATTCAGTGTAAAAAATATTTGATGAATAGAACAGCATGATAAATCCCTAACCATACGAGGAAAAAACACAACCAGTTAAAGGTTAACGAACCACAAAACGAGAATTGACTCGTTGTAATGTTTCCTTTTCCATCATGGCCATATTTTCGGCATGACGCTTTTTCATGCGTTTCTTTTCCATTTTCTTGCATGCGTATAACTTCCCAGTTGCTCGAACTTGACAGGCGCACACCTCTCCAAATCCCCCTTTGCCTAGGACTCGGTACATTCGAAAGGTGTGTTTGGTGACTGGTGTTCTGAAAGTGGGAAACAATCCGGTAATTCAGAAAATCCTTGTCACATTTTAAGACGCAGATTGGTGAAGGAAAACTAGATGAGTTATTCTACTGACATCTACGAGCCATAAACAGCAAGAATTAGCTATTTTTAATTTACAAAAGTTATATTTCATCATTTAGAGGTTTTATAGGACACACATCGGTGCCGTTTACTGAATATACTCGAATAAAACTGAATTTACTGATTGAATTCCGCTTAAACGTTTTTCAGTAATGCTAGAAGCACTCACTTTTATATGAATGTTATGGAATAAACATTAAAACTTTTTTTCTTCCCAATATCTAGATGGTTAGCCTTTTACTGGAAGAATCTACTATCATCGATACACAGACAGTAAGATTGTGTTACGGAAAATATAGTCTTCCGAAAGATGGACCTTCCACGAAATAACAAGCATTCGCACCTGTGAAACAAGCCAGAAATAAATTCAACTTAGTATTGTTTGTTTGAATCTTCCCATCGATTTGTTAGGACTGTAACTGGTCAGTCTCTAATTGGCATATGTGCATACTGTGCGTATTGCCTCTAAATACCTTAATTCACAAGCATGGTTAGCAGAGATGGATAGTGGCTAGTACAGTATGCACATATGCCAATTAGAGACTGACCAGTTGCAGTCATAACAAATCGATGGGAAGATTCAAACAAACAATACTAAGTTGAATTTAAACTTCACCCCATCGCACAAGCAAGTGGCTATCAGGACTTAGTGGCCGAATGGATAATGCGATGGCGTTTGAAGCGAGGGTACTGGGTTCGAGTCCCAGAGTGAACATCAACTCTGAGATGCAGGTACATCCAGCTGACGAGTCCCAAATAGGACGAAACGCGCGTCCTGGATTCCACTGCTAGCCACTATCCATCTCTGCTAACCAAGCCAGAAATAGTCTGAACTCGTGTATAAACTAAATATAGTGAGAGCAGTATTGGCCAGTCCGTTTACTTGGACAAAGACAAGATTAATATAAGACAGAGGTATGTCTAGGTTTATGATTCCATGGTTAGCGTTAACGGACAGACAAAATCAATATCAAGGAAGATGAGGGAACTAAAATCACAACACCAACAACAACGGAACACAAAAATAGGGTAAAAAGTCTGCAGTAATTGAAGTGAGAGAACGACAAATTTCAGTGTTTGTTTAAAATAAGGGTCGTCGCTCAAAAACGTAGTTTAAGAACATCTTCCCTAATGTTGAGAATTAGTATGATCTGGAACAAAAGGCTTTTCAAAATAAACAGAGGTTATTAACCTTATCGGACGGTTAAAGGTATGATGAAGTTTATTAACTCGAAATACCATTATATATGACAATCACAATTACAGAACAGTTCAACCACTACGTAGACTGACGCTAGACTCAACTAAAAAGTAAAAATTGAATATTCAGGAAGTAAATTACTAACACTACTGAACAATAAATTGAAATATCACCATAAAATTATTGAAAAACCTAAGGATCTTGGTGCATTTTACTAGAACTTTGAGTTATATGAAGACAGTAAATACGTGGATTTACTGCAGACAAACCTACTTTTCTAACCATTTCCATTGAAGATAGCGATTAAAGTAAATTGAATTTAGAAATTCAGAAAACGGTGAGTTTCGTAAGAAATCTTCAAGGATCTTGAGGATTGAACGAAAGAGTTCTTTGTCAGGATAAGCATCGTTGGACCCTTCTAGAGCATGTAACACTGAGTTGTCGTCAATGTTTCCAAGCTGATGAAACTTTTTGCCACTCTAAGAATAAAATAGGAAAAAGGATGTGTTACCATGTCTGAGAGAAACCTGCGGTAGATTTCCAACCCAATCTTTTGACGTTCGCTGGGAATGCACACCGCGAATGTGTTCTAAAGTTGAAAAATACATGAAAGAATAATAAAACCTACAATAGAATCCACAAAATCAACGACATCAGAAATGAAGTTATTGCTCCTACAGAACAACCGAAACAATCTCTTTCCAATCGGCTGCTTCTCCACAATAAAATCATAACTCAAATCTGCACGCAAGAGGTTTGGTAAACGTATCTCGTAAATACCTAAACATTTCTTCAAGTATGAACAATTAGATATGTGAGGGAAGGCTAATAATGTCTTCCACTTTCGGCTTCGACCTTTGTCTCCATCATCTCCACCTGACGTCAAACATTTTACTATATCCCTTACTTCTTTTAGCCTTTATATACACAGTATTTGCAACAATATTCTCCAACTCCATACTTCATCATTAGAGCGTAAAGTAGCGCATAGCTTAAGAATGCAACGTTTACATGCTGTCCAATACGTACAGAATTAATAATCAAATAGTATGTGTGCCAAATGTCTCTCGATTTTGACGTCATTCTGTGCAGTTCTCATGGCACCTCAGATTTTTTATTTCAACAGCAGTTTTTGTTTCGCTCGAGTCTATTGATGTGATAAGCAGTTATTTTTACTAGAGCAGTCTCGTGATGTAGTTGGATAGGATTTGTTTGGCTCTTCTGTTCAAACCATCTCCAATGTAAGAAGATTATTATTCCTTGTTCAAACTATTGCTTTTCGAATCTACTTACCGCAGCCAGATTTTGAGTACACTACATCTTAGATATTTCTTGCTTTGTAATTGATAACTTATTTTCGTAGCGTGTAGAATTAATCTATCTTCAAAGTTCAGCTGACTTCTTTGATTAAAAGAGACATTCTTCTTATTGATATTATTATTCGCAAACACCTTATGGGTACATAAGTGCTGTGAAGAAACCATTTCGGGTTTCTTCAAAAATGCAATATTATACAATTTTCAATAATATTAGCATTACATTTGCCATGTTTGAGAAATGAAGAAAAAAAATATTAATAATTGAGTAGTAATAATAAATCAGGTTCTGCGTAATTGGTAAGAATTTTGAATTGATTTTGAGGGAGGAAAGGAAGAAACTAAGGAAACAGAAATAAAGGAGTTGCGGAATACGTAATTATCTGAACGCATAACAAGAATAAACAACTATGCATGTTTCATAGTTGAAAGCGTGAGTCAATTGAAGATAGACCACCATGGAAACCCTGGAAACACTGGACGGCCGTCTCGTCCTATTATGGGACTCCTCAGCAGTGCGCATCCACGAACCCACTCTCGCGAGATTCGAACCCAGGACCTAACAGTCTTGAGCCGAAGCCCATAACCGATAGACCACTGAGCTGGCCGGCTTCCAACGGTGTTAATGTCTAACTTCAACTGATCCACGAAGTTGAGCAACCATTCACCAATTGTCTTCAGTGAGTTCCTATCTCACAACAGACGTGGTTTTGAACTCCACTGGTCACTGCTTTTCACTAGAGCTCCTAGATATACTTCTCGAGGTCACTAGTGAGCATATGATTATATTAATTATCAGAAGGGGTTTTGTGGAGATTTGGCTCAGTGGTCTGTCAGTTAAGGGCTTCGGCTCGAGACTGGTAGTCCTGAGTTCAAATCTCGCGAGAGCGGGTTCGTGGATGCGCACTCCTGAGGAGTCCCATAATAAGACGAAACGGCCGTTCAGTGTTTCCAGGTTTTCCATGCTGGTCTAGCTTCAATTGACTCACGCTTTCAACTATGAAAAATACTAACTAATCTTCACAAAACCCCTTCTGATAATTAACTATGTATGTATCGCAAAATGAGTGATACAAATAAAATAAAACAGAACAAATTAACAAGTAAATAACTCATTATTGCGGTAAGATATGACGTTAGAATAATTGTTTGTGCGTACAGTCATAGTTTGGGGTGATGTTATGAAAGTCTCAATTAAGTGCAAAAGACAATCAATATGTATGAGATGTATATGCACAGTGAAGATAAAACGAGTATGATAAGTTGAATTCAGCGTAACACAAGTTATTGTCTTTATCCAAAGCTTCGCAATCTTAAGAATAATATTTATTTAGAATGAAAAAAGGAGAGAGAGAGAAAAGAAATGAACACATAGTGAAAGTGTCCAACCATGATCGTAATAGTGTAATGCTTATAAACTTTTGAGATAAACGAATAATTTTAAAAAATAATAATAATCACGAGAACATTAGTAACAACAATAATAAACCTTTACTGTGCTCGGATAAATACGTGTAGATTTATGTAACAGTATACAGAGTGACACCGGGTATTGGTATAAACATTAGTGCAATAATCATTTACAATGATTTTATGATAGTCACAATTAATTGCAAAGGATAATCAAATATAAATTCCCATATGTCATATATATGCTGTGAAGATTAAAAAATAAAAATCTGGGAATATATTTGTTCACGTGCAACATATGGTTTTTGTTTTTAGTTGTAAACTTTGGATGTTTAGGAATAAAATATGTTTAAAAGGACAAGAAGAGATGAAAAGAATATCTCATGCATCAGGGGACCAATAATGATATCAATAACAGTAATAATTATAAATACGAACATAAGCAGACTTCATATGTTAAGATGAATAAAAATGAAATAAAATAATCATGAAAAGTTTCAAAGGTTTCACTTTGCTTTTCAATCAATTAGATAGATGACGGATCTTTTTTGTACAAATCATCTTTAAGCACGTTGATATTCAATAGGTGACACAATCCACTCCCAGGTGATATCTTCACCGGAATAAATTACTTAGTTTTTTCAGTCTGGTTTGACAAAGTACTATCGTAATAAGTGTTCATATATGCTGGGGAAAATATTTTCGTGCGCATGCTGTTCATTTCGTACTTACATACATATCAAGTTTACGGTTTTTTACAGTCATATACGTTGCTACACAAAAATCATTATCCATTGTAACTTTTATGAAAGACAAAGATTGATTTCTGTCAGTAAATCACTCTCCGGTACTGGTCTACATGTAGTACACCGAGTAGTATAATTTATCTGATGGAGGAGCTTTTCAGACCTATTGTCTTAACGTTATGCGTGAAATTATTCTTTTCGGTCAGTACAGCTGTACATTCCTTCGATCTTTTAATCATATGTAGGACGAGTATTATTTATTTCACATCGACGGTTTTCTTTTTCCTACATTTTTGCTGAATTTCAATGATTCACACGTAACACTTTAACGTTGTTTTACTCTACAAATTTTCATGACGTCAGCAATATTGATTCGTTTCCTTTTTTTGATTTTTTTGCTTGACATGAACGGATTTATGCGCTTCCTGACTGCGAGAAAGTGGAAATTTCCAGAACATAGGTTAATATTGCCCTACTAGCAAGATAAAACAATATTGCCGTATTGATATAAAAGTTTATTTTTTTAACTGATTTGACCAGTTGAGTTTTTCGAACATCTGTTGGTTGAATATATGGGTGATTATGTCGGTTTCGAACCGTTTCTGACGTAGTCATTTTGTTTTAAATTTTGGTGGAGCGAGGGCATGACTGTTTGAACTAAATTTCACAGCTATTACTAATTTCAAACCGCTTAAATTTGGTAGTAATGCTGTTCAGTGTTGTTAAGCTAGCTGACTATGACAACGATCCATAGGGTAACTTACAAAGAATTAATTATCGCTCATGATTGTATTCTTGACCATTACTCGTCCCATCCTCCCTTCAAGACTTAACGTGGTTGAGCAGCAATAAATTTCACTAGAACTGAAATAGAACGGTTAAGAAGAATTGCAGTCGTACGCTAGCAATTCGACATTACAGACTTCAGAAAGTCCTGGTAATCAGTGACAGTTCCTTCATTTTCTGTTTGTGCGGTATTGGTTTGTAATGGTTTGCTAGTTATTATTTGCCAAAAATTGACTTCAACCTCCATAGCTATCTCTTTTGCAACCATAAGCGCTAAATGTTAAATTCTCTTTCATGTTCTTCGAAACACAGTTGTGTCTTTATTCACATTATTGTTATTATTATTCACAAACACCTTATGGGTACATAAGTGCTGTGAAGAAACCATTTCGGGTTTCTTCAAAAATGCAATATTATACAATTTTCAATAATATTAGCATTACATTTGCCATGTTTGAGAAATGAAGAAAAAATAAAATATTAATAATTGAGTAGTAATAATAAATCAGGTTCTGCGTAATTGGTAAGAATTTTGAATTGATTTTGAGGGAGGAAAGGAAGAAACTAAGGAAACAGAAATAAAGGAGTCGCGGAATACGTAATTATCTGAACGCATAACAAGAATAAACAACTATGTATGTATCGCAAAATGAGTGATAGAAATACAATAAAACAGAATAAATTAACAAGTATATTCACTACATATCGGATTTTTTGAGTCCTTCGAATAGACAGCCATTCAAACCACGTCTCTCTTCGCGTAAATGTGAGCTCCCGCATGGATGACAGCTTAAGTTACTAAGGAAACACAGTACACATATGTTCTCGATTATTGGCCGTAATTTGTGTCAGGTAACCCACTGTCCGGAATCAATAACACATGTACACAACAAAAACTAACTCCCTTGTTGTGTATTCGAATGAAACATTGACTATTTTTTTAAATATCCATTAAATAACATATTGCCACTAAAATAACCTTGTCTATTACTGACCGTATTTCTTAAGCTCGTTTCCTTGAAAAGTCTTAACGTTACGGCCATCTTCAAGTAGAATGAACTCTGTCTATCAGTTTCATTTGTATGAGACTTATTCAGACAACTAAGTTACTTCAACGTTATCTTGAGCATTTGAAGAAATATTAATTCCAAATGAAATTCTAGCGTAAATGTAGCTGAAGATTCAAAATCACCGTAAATTGATAATTCAGGCTTTAATTTTATATCAACAGCATTGTTGTCATCAACCAAGCTAAAGGAACCATTGGCTAATTCCTCCTCCGACACTTTTACATTATAAATCCGGTGACTCAACTTTGTCATGAATGTCTTATACATTCAAGCTCCATTCTACATCAAGTCTCTCCTCAAATTCCTCTTTAATAGGCTCAGTCTCATTCAGCCTAAACTAAGCACAACCACGTCCACTCAAGCTTGACGCACGAAAAGTCATGATATCATCACACATACTAATATAGAAGATTAAACAAGGAACCTCATATTTTGAATGCTAAATCTCTTTCGACTTTTCATCCCCTGGGTATTGCTATATATTCTTATTACAGTCTACAGCTTTGCATAGTGATAGTTTTAAAATACTTTCAAAACAATCTGCTGACATCAAACGAATGAATCCACAGAGTTCGAATACAATAAAAAACCCTGAATAATGTTAAAAGTCTGGCATCAAATAATATATTAT